CTCCATGCTTCTTTAGCTCTGTTTTTAATTCTTTCATAGGGTTCGTCACTGTTATTTGTGATCTTATCACCTCAACTAAATTATGAAGTCCTACAGAAAAAGGTTATGTGTTTCATCTTTGAGCTCTCTGACTTTATCACCGGGAATTCCTTAGGGATTACTCTTTGAAATGAAAATTAAATAGCACTAGTTAGCAAAGTCACCATTTAGGTATGCTTGAATTTGGGTTTTAATTGTATTACTTAATAAGACCTTTAAATTGTTGACCATGGCATTTATTGACTTAGACCTAAGCAGCCTGAATCCTTTGAAAGTAATTTCCCTCCAATTAAATTTTGCTAATTTCATATTTATTTAAAGTAATTAACTCTTTTATTAAACTTCGATTGTATTTTGTGCTTTTATAGATATGTGAATAATCAGGATTTAGAAATATACATTGTTAAATGATGCAATAATTTATTGATACACATTATTGAAATGCTCTAGGATTTCAAAATTTTAATAAATGTTGATTATTTTTATGTCACATTGACAGGTTTTAGACTAATAAAAACATTTTTATTTTAAAAATTTAAAAATATTTTAGAAGTTCTTTTCATCTAAGAAAATACAAAATTCCTTCCTGGGTGGTAAATCCGCACGATACTGAGAGGGAAAAGTGAGGGTAGGAGATTCAGATATATTAGATCTTGACCTAAATTGTTGTGATTCACAATACTTTTTAAAGTGTATTTTGAATTAAACAAAAGCAGTTCTGGAGATATACAAACTTCTTAAAAAAACTTCTAGTGTGATTTTATTACATTTTATAATTTAGTGTAACACTTGAATGTTCTAACCAAGACAACGTGAGAAACAGAATTTTATCCCCCTCATAAGTATTTTGCTTTCCTGGCATCTCTTTAATGTCTTAGAGCACTGACTGAAGTGCATAGCATCACACTATTGATCAACAACAAAGAGTCTTGCACTATTCTGGAAACCAGTGTAACAATGTCTGTTTGAAAAGGTTGCCTGCATTTCCAAATGTAAATTTTACAGAAGAGCAAACACGGTGTTCAAACTACATCATCTGACAGATTGCCTATGGTGCAGAAGTTAGAAAATCCCCAGTGCTTGCTACATTTTGCTAAGCTACCCATTAATATGTTTTGTTGATTTTTGCTATGAAAGGACAGAAAAGATGGGACCCACAATATCTGTTCTAATATTCTTTTATATTATTAAATAAAATATTTGGGAATGGCCCTTGAGCAGAATAATAAATGCTTTTATGATATCGTTTTGTACAACTAGATGTTACACATGATGTAGCTTAGATAGTGTAATGCTCACCTGCCATAAATTGCATGAATTCTTGGACAACACATAATCTTCATTGCTTTTAGACTCTACTTAATTCTGGCAAGATCCTTTGTTTAGCTAAAATTAATAACACTTGAGAATAATAACTCTTTTTCAAATATAACTTCAGTGTGCTATGTTAGAATAAAATTCAGCTTAAATATTATGAGTCACTTATCAAATCATTTAAAAATTAAAGAGTTTAACTTTATTTGAGAATATGCTTTAGGTACTTTAAATACAACATGTGAATCATTTTTCCAAAAGAAGCATTCTCATCTTTCTCTCCAAGGTATAAATCCTCAGAAAGTGTAAGATATTGGTGTCTAATTTTTCTTTCCTGGAAGAGGAAATGAGTATTTTCAGATTCTTAGGTATGTAAATAGATACAAAAAGTATATATAGTATATGTATGTGTACAAGTATTTGTATATATGCATAAATATGAAGCAAATGTTTTGTAGGTTATTTTGCTTAAAATCACTCATCTTACCAATTATAATTTTGCATGTTAATCTTAATGAGATAATCATAAGAGAAGAACAAATGTCAAAAAAAGGGATATATTAAAATTAGCTTCTCATCATTGTGACAGAACTGTAAATTCGTTGTAACAAGGAATAAAAGGGCTCCTGTGGACAGCTTACACAGCAACCCCGAGTAGTGGGTTTGTTATTTTATGATGCTGAAAGTCTAGGTCACCACAGATTTTAGAAGGGAATGTGACAGGTAACAGCAGGCTCTTTAAAAAGTATCCACATAGTTTTACTTTACAGACATTCTTTTATATGACATGGGTACAACTTCTGGTCACGAATTGATACTTTTAACTATTTTGATATTATCGTGTCCTCATCAACATCAAAGGTATCATCTTCAAAAATGGAAGACTAAAATTTTAAAAAATACATGAAATATATCTGTACATTTTTCTCCACCTAGAACACTAGTTGGTGACTGATGGTGCTTTTAGGATGGCTTTGCAAGTCATGAATGGAATTAAGTCTTTTCCCTTCAACAAAATCCTTCATTTGCAGTTAGAGCATGTGCCCTAACGTAACAAGCACTGAACATGGATCAAGCAAGTCAAAACTAGTACTGTTGTCAAAGACAAGGGAAATGCCAATTCCTGCCCATGCTAGCCATCCTCTCCCACCTCAGGTGGGGAGGACTGAGAAACACCTTTGAAATCCAAAACCCAGACTTTACCCTGGGGCTGGAGAACGCTTCCCCTCCCACCACACCTCATCACCTCGCCACTAAGCACCTCATTATAGCAATTCCTTTTACCCAACACATCATGTCTGGCTATGAAGAAAAAAATTACAGGAAAGGAGAAAAAGTAGAACCATATAAAATGCATAATTAAAATAATAAAATGCAGAAAAAGAGTAGAAGGCAAAATAGGAACAAAGAGCAAGGGCAACAAACAAAACAGTAACAAATATGGTAGATATTAATACAGCTATATCAGTGATCACTTTGAACATCAATGGTCTAAAAAGACAGAGATTGTCAGAGTGGATCCAAAAACAAGATCCAACTACATGTTTTCAAAAAGAAACCCACCTTAAATATAAATATAAAGATTAACAGTAAAGAGATATTGAAAAATATACTATGCTAACATTAATCAAAAAATAAAATGTAAAAATTCATTAAAGGGGCACCTGGGTGGCTCAGTCTTTAAGTGTCTGCCTTCGGCCCAGGTCATGATCCTGGGGTCCTTGGACTGAGCTCCTCATCGGGCTCTGTGGGAAGCCTGCTTCTCTTTCTCCCACTCCCCCTGCTTGTGTTCCCTCTCTCACTGTGTCTCTCTCTGTCAAATAAATTAATTAATTAAATAAAGGGGTGCCTGCATGGCTCAGTCATTAAGCGTCTGCCTTCGGTTCAGGTCATGATCCCAGGGTCCTGGGATCGAGCCCCACATCAGGCTCCCTGCTCAGCGGGAAGCCTGCTTCCCCCTCTCCCACTCCCCCCCCCGCTTGTGTTCCCTCTCTCGCTGTGTCTCTCTTTGTCAAATAAATAAATAAAATCTTAAAAAAAAAAAAGAAAAGAAAAGAAATAAAAAATAAAAATTCATTAAAAATATAACACTAACATTAATTTAAAAAGGGGGTAGAACACTACATCAAAAACTAATGATGTAATGTATGGTGATTAACATAATAAAATAAAAAAATAAAAAGGGGGTGGCTATTTTAATTTCAGACAAGACTTTGAAGCAAGGAAGGTTATCAGGGATAAAGAAAGTCATTACATATTGATAAATTGGTCAATCCTACAAGAAGGCATAACAATTTTTAGCGTGTGTGCACCTAACAGAGCATCAAACAACGTGAGTCCAAAACTGATAGAACTAGGAAGAGAAATAGTTGCATGCACTATCAGAGTTGGAGTCTTCTATACTCCTCCCTCACAAATGGACAGGTCCAGCAGGCAGAAAATCAGTAAGGACATTGTTGAACTCAACAGCACCATCAATCGACTGTATATAATGGACATCTATAGACAAAGTCAACAAACAACAGAACACGTTCTTCCAGCTCGCATGGAACATTCACCAAGATGCACCACACTCTGGGCCATTAAACATATCTACACAAATATAAAAGAATAGAAATCATACACTATCTGCAATCAGACCACAATGGAATTAAACTGGAAATCAATAATGGTATGATAGCTGGAAAATCCCCAAATATGTGGAGATTAAACAACACACTTTTAATCAGTACATGGGTCCAAGAAGAAACCTCAAGAGAGATTTTTAAATATTTGAACTAAGTGAAAATGAAAATGAACCTGTCAAATCTTTTGTGTTAGAAGAAATAGCATTCAGCATGTTGACAAGTAGATTAAAAAAAATGTCACTCGTGTAATGTTATTATTGCAGTAGGTTTGCAGAGTAGTTGAGAGAGTACACATTTGTCCATTTCTCTGGACCGTGGAGAAAAAGTAAAGGGGCACGAGTTGTAGCAGAAGAACTTGTGCCCACAGACAGTTTGGAGCTAGAATAAGTAAGTTTATTAAATATTTATTAATTGCCAAAAGAATAAAGTATTGCTAACCTGGGTGCATGAATCATGGATGGGCCTTGGTGGAAGAACGGGCTGAGGTAGTAGTAGGTGCACGGGCTTATGAACACCATGTGCATTTTTCTGGGAAGCAGGTCCATTGCTTATATTTATGACCTCTGATTTTGAGGTCACGTTTTCTGCCAGTTGACCGGTGTCGGTTGCGTCGTGACTCTCGTCCCACCAGGAACTTGCACAATGGATGGGAGTTAGGAGAAAAGAGAGAGATTGAATCCAAGGAGTATTTAACAAAAATGTATTGAGAATCTTGAGTGTGCCACACCTCCTCTTGTTGGCAGAAGATACAATTTTCATAAAAACACAGAGTCCTTGCTTTCATGGAGTTATTCTACATAATTTTTAGAATATTTCAAAATTCAGCAAATGCCCAACATTGAGGGCAGAGGAGAAGACATGCTTGTTCCGTTCTCCATCGTTTTTGGCTACAGTTAATTGGAAAAGGGTATAAATATGCAGTGGAAAGTGGCTTAAGAGAGTAGTAACTGATCATTTTGTTTCACCACTCCCGTATACAGCGTCTCCTGTACACTAAGTGAAAAATATTTTTCTTTCAAGGTAACGGAACTGCACAACATCAAAAATATAACCAGACTGCCTCGAGAGACAAAGAAGCATGCAGTGGCAATTATCTTTCATGATGAAACGTCAAAGACGTTTGCCTGTGAGTCAGGTAAGCAATTATAGCCCTGTCTACAACTTGTGGAAATTGAACTGCTTCAGAGACAATGGCCCAGATGGATTAAGTTATACCACTGAATAGGAAGGCTTATTGTGATAAGACTGTGCTGTGGAAAACTTTAGGGAGAAGCTCAATGTATTGATTTCTACAGATGTTTTGGGTGCTTGTTTATTATCTGTCTGTGTCTGGATTTTGCTCCCGGGTGGTCTGAGGACTCTTGAGGTTTCTATTCAAGCTTGAAGAATTAAGTAAACAGTGCCTGGGAGATGTTGTTAGGGCAAGCTTGTGACTTGTATTCTGGTTCCTGCCGGGTGCAGCTGTAAGCGTTTGGTGGGAAAATAATAGCGCTGTCATGGGAAAGTGTGGGGCAAAGCACAGCTGAAGTCCCCAGACATTCCAAAACTGAACTTTGAGCAATTGGTTGCTTTCATGGATTCTCAGTACTACAACTAAATACATTTCAGATTGAATTTTAGCATCCCAACCCATAAAGCACTCTGACATCATTGAGACACACGGCAGTTTATAGTTTGAACCTGTAGTATTTTTCATTTTGAAATCCCTGTGCTATGCAATGTATTAGTTGGCTTATTATAGCTTTTTAAAGATTTTGCTCAATGAAATGGTGCATTCATTTTATAATGGATGGAAGCAAAAAGCACCAAGGCTTCGAAAGATGTGAATTTAAAATTATGGTGAAGTCCTTAGTAGAAGCCTTACTGAGTACTTTTTTTAAGGAAGTAAAGCTTCTGGATTTATAGTTAAAGTTTATAGGTGTAATTAATACCAGATTCTATTATTCTAAACTTGATAATATCACCTTGCCTAAATAAAATTGTTCACACCTCCCCACCTACACTTTTCTTAGTTTTGCTAAACTGAATTGCAATTTGTCAACGTGTTTTTCCTTGGATGCCTTTAATCCCTTTTGCCATACTTCCCTTCGCTCATCATCTGCCTTCACTTCATCATTTAAAATTGACTTTTGGCATTGCATAGAAGTCTGTTAACTGGTGATATCAATTCCATTTCATAAGAGAACCTGTCCCAGCCTTGCTGGTATCATTTATTAACATCCAAAAGTATTTGTGCCTTCTTGTTCACTGTCTTAAAACTGTCTCACCACTTCACTTTGCTCTGAGCTCTTAGATAATGTGTCATATTAAAACTAACAACCAGAAAATTGGTTTTCCAAAAAAGATAAAAGATAATTTTCACTATTGTTTGTATACTTCAATTTTCACTACTGCTTTACAGTTTTAAAATTATATTGAGCCATGTTGTGGGTACAAATGCAATAGTCAAGTCTGTTACTTCAGATAAGAATGATACTGAATTATGTTTCTGAAATTCAGACACAGAGTTGTACCCCACAAGTCTAACATTGGAAGCTTTTTAAGATTACAAGATTATTTTTATTTTTTGTGTGTGTGGTGGTGTTGGTTTCATGGGTCATGTAAGATTTTGGAGAAACAAAGACTCCTTCCCTAAAACAAAATGGCCTTAATTTTCAAGAGAAGAATTTCCAGACAGTGAGGCTGAAACTAGATCCAAATGTAAAAATAAAAGAACAGGTTTATTTGAATTCCTGGCAAAGAGTTTTCAACTCATTTGAATTATGATTTATTCGAATTATTGGTGTTTTAAATCACTTTTGTGTATGTAGATATAGCAGTCTGCTTGAAGCTAGTAGTAAAAGTGCTTAAGAAACAATGGCACGATTTTATTAAATCTTCTTAACTTCATGGCATATGACAATAGAAAAAAAGAAAGGAATTGAAACACATAAACAGGGAATTTGAGTACTTCTAGCAAATTATATTTTTAGATCTATGTTAAGACCAATAGTCCATGTCTGCTGATAAAATGGCAAAATCATTTGGAAAAAAGACTCCAACTGTAAAGCAGTCACAGATGTGAAAATCAAAACAGCGATACAGTTAAAGCCAAAATTAGAAGGAGCTCTCACATTTAAATGCGAATGCAGATCAAAGTGTATTCTCATGATGGCTAGTGAGTATGCGAATTGCCTCAATTTTTTTTTCAAGAAAACTGGCAACTGCTATTAAATAAGTATGCACTCCCTTGACTCACTGAGCGTCTTTGGGAGCATATCCCGTAGAAACATACGTACCAGCACATGAGGTCATAGGTTTAAGCAAATTATGTGTAATGACAACAAAATTGGAAACAAATGAATGGCTATCAAGAAAATACTTGAACAAATTATGGTACATCCTTATCGTGAAATATTATGCAATATCCAGAAAGAATTCTAATTAAGCCAATTAACTGGAAGACATTTCTATGAATTTTAGTACTTCAAGCAAAACAAACCAGCAGAGAAGTGTATGCTGAATAATCACATTTGTAAAAGAAACAACGCGAGAGATAGCATGTGTTTTACCAAGAGTTACCTGGGGTAAGAGGGGATAATAAGGAGGTGGGTGGAAAAGGAAGCTGGGAAAAAAATGCAATAACAAAAAAGGAGAAGAAAAGAAAATGAACAGAAGAAAAAACCCAGCATATAAACTATCCCACCTATATGAAATTATGATATGTGAACGTGTGAATGAATGTATCCAATTTTTTTAAGTCAGTCAGTCATCAGGGAAATGCAAATTAAAAACCACAATAAGATATCACTGTGCACTTATCAGAACAACTAAAAATTTTTTTTTAAAAGATTTTATTTATTTGACACAGAGAGACATAGCAAGAGAGGGAACACAAGCAGGGGGAGTGGGAGAGGGAGAAGCAGGCTTCCCACGGAGCAGAGAGCCCGATGCGGGGCTCGATCCCAGGACCCTGGGATCATGACCTGAGCCGAAGGCAGACGCTTAACGACTGAGCCACCCAGGCACCCCCAGAACAGCTAAAATTTTTTAAAAAGTACCACCACCAAATGCTTGTGAGGTTGAAGAGAAACTAGATCACTCATACATTGCTGGCTGAAACGTAAAATGGTACACACTCTGGAAAGTGGTTAGCAGCTTCTTATAAAATTAAATATGTCATCATTACACAATCCAGCAATTGCAGTTTTGGACATTTATCTCAGGAAAAAAAAGGAAACTTGTGTTCACACATACACGTACACACATACAAAAAGTACTCATAATAGCTTTGCTCATAATAGCCCCTAACTCGAAAGAACCCAGATGTCTTTTATAAACTGTGGTACACTCACACCATGAAATCCTCAACAATAAAAAGGAACAAACTATTGATAAAAGTAGCAACCTGGATAAATCTTGACTGAATTATGCCAAGGGGAAAAAAAGCCAATCCCAAAATATGTATTCGGGATTCCATTTACATAACATCTGTGAAATGACAAATTTTACAGATGGAGGACAGAGTAGTTGCAGAGGTTAGGAATGGGATTGGGGGTATGGGGACTCAGGGGGACGTATGGTCATGAAAGTTACATGAGCTTGTATTGGCACTGGGCAGTTACCCTGATTGTAATGGTACATAAACAAACCTACGTGGGTGGCAAGTTGTATAGAACTTACACGTACAAGTACAAGTACAACTGGGGAAATCAGAATAAGATCAGTACACTCTCAATGTCAGTATCTTGGCTGTGATATTATACTATAATTTTGCAAAATAGTACCATTGGGGGAAAGTGGGCAAAGTTTACACAGAATCTCTCTGTAATATTTTTTATTACTACATGTGAATCTACAATTATCTCAAAAAAACCTTGCAGTAAAAAATATATCTAGGCTGTCTCTAAGGTCATCTGTGATATATATATATATATATTTTTTAAGTTAAAAACAGGGTAGGGAGGGACTTGCAGGGGAAAAAAAGTGTTTGGTATATTCTAATATGGTAAAAAGAAACTGACAGCAGTAAGGACAAACAACGAAAATCATCCTAGATGTGTGCCTGTATAGCTTGTGTATGTTTTATGAGCACAAAGAAACATGGGCAAGGGTACATATGTGTATGCTGCCCCTTCTAAGACGGACTCCTTGCATGAGCTCCTCCCAAGCCTGTTGGGCCCCCTGCACACACACATCTCCCAACCACCTCCCCATTGGCTTCCATTTTGGCCCCAGTATGTGATGCTTCTTGCCCCCTCGTCTTACTTAGTGCCTCTGCTCTCCACATCCACAGCACCCTGACCTCGGACTTCACACAGCCCGTTCACAATCTCTGTCAGATTTAAGCTCAATGAAGACATGACCATATTTTCTTTCTCACCTCAGAATACCCAGCAACATAGTGCTAATCAAAATTTGTTGAATTAATGAAGTAATGAATGTGTAAAAATTTGTATTTAAGTTTGTTATAATGATATATTTATCATTCAGCTTTTCCTAAGAGATGATTTTTTTAAAAACGAGTTTGAGAGGCTAATTTGGCAGCCCCATTGGGAAAATTGTTTCAATTGCCAAATAACAGATTGTTGTGTGTTTTTGATGGTGTGCAGGGGGAGTAAATGATCATTGTGCTCTGTGTGTGTGTGTGTATGTGTGTGTGTGTAAATTTCCATGGCCCACCAGGTCTACTGCAATAACTCTATGAGTAGAATATTGTGGAACACAAATAAGAATTTCTGGAGTTTGCCTATTAATTGAAAAGAGACCCGTTGATCCTCTTTTTGAGTATGTTCCAATCTCAAGTCAATGCCTAGAAAATGAAGGAGCAGATGGCTTAGATGTTGGAAACCTAAAATCTGGCTAATAGATTCTGCTTACCTTCATTAAGGAAAAGAGAGAAAAGGAAAAAGAGGCTCAACTATGTCTAGCAATACTTTAGAAATATTGCAGGTTTGGTTCCAGACCACCACAATAAAGTGAATGTTGTAATAAAGTGAGTCAAATGAATTTTGTAGGTTCCCAGTGTAAATAAAAGTTATGTTTATACTACCCTGTAGTCTATTAAGTGTGCAATAGCATTATGACTAAAAAATGTACATACCTTAATTTAAAAATATTTTATTGCTAAAAAATGCTAACCACCATCTGAACTTT